GATTTTTTGTTTATGGCGCACACCCACCACACAGACCAGTTCTCTCACATGTAGGCCTATGAGTGTTTTTGTGCTAAATTTGACGGAGCTAGAATTTTGACGTAGATCTACGGTTTGGACACTGAACATGAAGCCGTAGATTTACGGGACGGACCCTGAAAGGGTTAAAGCACTTGAAACTCTAGAAAGTTTCTAGACATAATGTTGAGACACAGAGCTCACAAAGAATGTAAACAAACCGGGAGGTGCGCAATGACCATATTAGTGAATCAGGTGGGGAGGGGGAAAGCCGTATAACAAGTTCTGGTAATAATTTGAAATGTCCGTATTAGTGAAACGCCGTAAAGCGAAACCCTACTCTGGGAATTGGGCATCATCATCTTGGTAACCCACCATGCAATTCTGATCAAAATTTTGGTCTTATTTCCAAGACTGATGAACATTTCTGTATAGAACACACACTATTCGCTAACTAGTGAGTTCACTGGTTTTCTTCTCAGCACGTCATATAACTGAAACTGGATTGTTATTTTTCCCACAGAATAAAAAAAAAAAGACGTGCAGTGTATGTGTAAACAAACTCCCAACAACAGATAAGACAAAGTTTTTCCAAGTAAAAGTTCTTTTTATAAATACAGTGGACCCCCGAGTTTCACGATTAATCCGTTCCAGAGACCCTGCCGAAAGTCGAAATTCACGAAACTTGAAACCATTTTCCCCATAAGAAATAATGGAAATAAAATTAATCCATTCCAGACACCCAAAAATATTAAAAAATATTTTTTTTTTAATTAAATAAAGAAGTAAAATAAAGAAGAAAAAAGTAAATGCTAGGGTGTTTGGGAGAGGGGTGGGATTAAATTATGGGGAATCAAATACAAAATGGGAAGCGAGAAGGTTACTTTTTGCTGATGATATTGTGCTTATGGGAGATTCTAAAGAAAAATTGCAAAGGTTAGTGGATGAGTTTGGGAGTGTGTGTAAAGGTAGAAAGTTGAAAGTGAACATAGAAAAGAGTAAGGTGATGAGGGTATCAAATGATTTAGATAAAGAAAAATTGGATATCAAATTGGGGAGGAGGAGTATGGAAGAAGTGAATGTTTTCAGATACTTGGGAGTTGATGTGTCGGCGGATGGATTTATGAAGGATGAGGTTAATCATAGAATTAATGAGGGAAAAAAGGTGAGTGGTGCGTTGAGGTATATGTGGAGTCAAAAAACGTTATCTATGGAGGCAAAGAAGGAAATGTATGAAAGTCTAGTAGTACCAACACTCTTATATGTGAAGCTTGGGTTGTAAATGCAGCAGCGAGGAGACGGTTGGAGGCAGTGGAGATGTCCTGTCTAAGGGCAATGTGTGGTGTAAATATTATGCAGAAAATTCGGAGTGTGGAAATTAGGAGAAGGTGTGGAGTTAATAAAAGTATTAGTCAGAGGGCTGAAGAGGGGTTGTTGAGGTGATTTGGTAATTTAGAGAGAATGGATCAAAGTAGAATGACATGGAGAGCATTTAAATCTGTAGGAAAAGAGGCGGGGTAGGGGTCGTCCTCGAAAAGGTTGGAAGGAAGGGGTAAGGGAGGTTTTGTGGGCGAGGGGCTTGGACTTCTAGCAGGCGTGCATGAGCATGTTCGATAGGAGTGAATGGAGACGAATGGTATTTGGGACCTGACGATCTGTTGGAGTGTGAGCAGGGTAATATTTAGTGAAGGGATTCAGGGAAACTGGTTATTTTTATATAGCCGGACTTGAGTCCTGGAAATGGGAAGTACAGTGGACCCCCGGTTAACGAACTTTTTTCATTCCAGTAGTATGTTCAGGTGCCAGTACTGACCGAATTTTTTCCCATAAGGAATATTGTGAAGTAGATTAGTCCATTTCAGACCCCCAAACATACACGTACAAACGCACTTACATAAATACACTTACATAATTGGTCGCATTTGGAGGTGACCGTTAAGCGGGGGTCTACTGTACAATGCCTGCACTCTAAAGGAGGGGTTTAGGGATATTAGCAGTTTGGAGGGATGTGTTGTGTATCTATATATGTATATGCTTCTAAACTGTTGTGTTCTGAGCACCTCTGCAAAAACATTGATTATGTGTGAGTGAGGTGAAAGTGTTGAATGATGATGAAAGTATTTTCTTTTCGGGAATTTTCTTTCTTTCTGGGTCACCCTGCCTCGGTGGGAGACGGCCGACTTGTTGAGAGAGAGAGAAAAAAAAAAAGAAAAAGATTTACATACTAAAAACAATCAGAAATTAAGTACATGTATATAAAAAATAATGATAACATTACACTTACCTTTACTGAAGACTTTTGGGTGGATGGAAGACAGGACGGGGTAGGAGGAAGGTGTACACTATTGTTTGGAAGGAGAATCTCTTTTCATTAGGACTTCAGGTAGCAAGTCCTTTTCTGGGGTTACTTCCCTTCTTCTTTCAATGCCACTGGGAACAACTTGAGAGTCACTGGACCCCTGTCGCACAAAATATCTGTCCAGCGAGGTTTGTTTCTGGCATTTCTTTATGATTTGCCTGATGTGGAACAAGGTTTTGTCACTGAACATGTTGCAGATATGGCTTGTTTCAGCTTGGTCAGGGTGATATTTTTCAACAAAACTTTGCAACTCATTCCACTTTGAACACATGTCCTTAACCCTTTGGGGGTTTCAGATGTACTAGTACAGCTTATCGACCCAGGGTTTTTGACATACTAGTACGCCTAAATTCTAGCACCCTCAAATCTAGTGAGAGAAAGCTGGTAGGCCTACATATGAAAGAATGGGTCTATGTAGTCAGTGTGCGCAGTATAAAAAAAATCCTGCAGCACACAGTGCATAATGAGAAAAAAAACTTTGACCGTGTTTTTGGATTAAAACAGCGACTATGCACTGTATTTTCCTATGGTATTTATTGTTATATTCTAGTTTTCTTGGTTTCATTTTATAGAATGGAAGACATATTACAGAAATTGAGATGATTTTGACTGGTTTTACAATGAAAAGTACCTTGAAATTGAGCTTAAATAGCAGAAATGTTCGATTTTTACCAAAGTTCAAAAGTAAACAAATCATGTTATGCATCCAATACACATCAACTGATGAGTCTAATATTCTTTCACAAGTGCGCTGATATTATTTATACCATTTCTACACTAATGCAGTAGTCTGCATAACAGTAAATCTTGTTTTTTTTTGTAAGAATAAAAATTCAAAGTGGAAAGCCAAAGAAATATAAGAGGGGCCTGGGGATGTTACTAATGAACAGAGAACTTGTTATTTTAGTGCCAGGAATGTCTGTGTTTATTCTGGACCCTATTTGGAAATTGGCATCTTTTGAAATTTGTGTGAAATTGGCAAAATTGCTAAATTCTGACCACTGTATTGGATAGTTGAAATCAGTAAAAGGGTGGTTTCTTGTACTCATTCAATAGAAAAAATGGAGTTCTAGTGAAATAGTTACGATTTTTGTCGGCTAGTACACTGGAATTGGCCAAAAATAGGGCTCAAAGTGGGCAAAATCGCCGATGCGTGAACGTTGTCGAGACTGCTAACTTCACAACAGCATAATTCCATAAGTTTTCCATCAAATTTCATACTTTTGGTGTCATTATGATCGGGAAAAGATTCTCTATCTTTTCATAAGAAAAACAATTTTTTTTTTTTTTTTGAAATTTGGCCGACCCTGACAACAAGTCTCTGAGAGGACCTGCCGAACCCCAAAGGGTTGATCACCAAAGAAGGCACCTCCTTCACTCTCTTTTCCTCCTCCTCTGAAGCAAGTTCCTCAGCTGTGGTCTGATGCTGTTCCAGTTGAAGCTCTTGCAGTTCGTCAGTGGTTAGCTCTTCCCTGTGGTCCTCCACCAACTCTTCCACATCCCAGTCACTCACCTCCAAACCCATGGACTTGCCCAATGCCACAACACCTTCCACAACAGGCAGAGGGTTGGCAGGGTCAGGGTCTGCCTCAAACCCTTCAAAATCCCTCTAGATCGTGTTCTTCGCTTTCTTTACCTAAGGGCTTGCACTAGCTTTCCTTGGGCCCATGGTTACTTATTTAGCAGTTGCAATCACAAAAAACAATGGATTATTACGTATGAACCCGCGGGGTGATGGTCATGTGTTGGTAAACAATGGCACACTGAGCGTGAATGGCGTGGGAGACTGGCTTTGTGTGCGCGGTGACGGGCGGACGGGTACCGGACGGTCGCTGAATCACGAGTCTAATCACAAAACTCGAGGCCAAATTTTGCTGAAAAAGCCTGCCGAAAGTCGAATTTCACTAAAGTCGATGCTGCCGAAACTCGGGGGTCCACTGTAAACACAATTTGCTAAAAAAAACTTTAGAATATGTGTTTGGTCTTTCTTGGTCCACTACTAGGATACACCTCAATAATGGTCCACAATAGTCCAAAATGTCAGCTAGTTTCCTATCCAAACTATAGATTTAATGCAAGATGATTAGGAAACAACACCGACTATATTGTTCATGACAAAGCTATTGGAAATTAGCTGGTGAAAAGTTCAGAGGCAGGACTGTTTAAATTTTTTTTTTTTTTTTTGAAGAAAAGCATCATATTAATGGAAAAACAAGGAAAGGAAAACCAGGATAAGGTCTTAATAAGAAAACTAAATATAATAACTATTGCATCTTAATAACAGCCTAGGTAATCCAGAATAGTGTACTTTTGGAATAGGAGTGGCTATTTTTGCTAAGAATGACAAAGGTAACACAAGCTTCTGTGCTAATATAGGTGCATCCAACATGTTTTACAAAATATACAAGGTATAGTGCAGTGTTCTACTACAAAATACATTTGGCTGAGGTGCAATATGTTTACTAGATATAGTAACATGCAATGTCTTCTACAAAATACATCATGTATTTCATAAAAACAAAGTGATGTGAATACTTACTGTATTTGAGGTCCGAGACATTATGCAATGTGTTGTACACAATACATCATGTATTTCATAAAAGAAAGTGGTGTGAATACTTACTGTATTTGAGGTCCAAGACATATTATGCCAGGCAGATGGATTACCAATTGCAGCCTTCACAACAAGGGATGGCATGTATTCCAAGTTATTTGGAGCTTTTTCTTCATCGTTTACTTCCCATTTCACAGTGACAGAGATATTTGTTTCTTTTGTTACTGTGAAGCCCGTCACAAGATATGCCTATAAAGAAAGCATGTAGATGAGACTACAACTGCACACTGTTACCTAAAAAGCCTGTCAAAAGATAAACAAGCAAACTAAGCACATAGATGAAACTGTATTAATGCTGAAATATGAAATTTAATAAAATGCAATATATTAACAGTAAGCAATTTGAAAGAACTACTGCATACAGTAAACCCTCTCATAACACATGGGATATGTTCTGGAAAATTGGCACTTTTTTAAAAAATATAGTGCAATGTGAAGACCATAAAAGACAAATACGGTTACATTCCAAACACCCTCAAATCTGCCAACAGATTTTTTTTTAAACTTTACCTTACCATTTAGATAAAAAAAAAATTGCCAGTACTAGAGTAATTTCAAGTGTGGGGAGGGTTAACATAGATCTACTGGCCAAGCTTGATGTTGGGAGATTAGCCAGTTGACACACATTAGATACTGTATATGTTTACACAATATATAAGCTACATTTCCTTACCAATCTGTACCAAAGTAAACAAAACAAACCTATAAAAAGCAAGGTAAGCAAACCTGTATCATGGCAAATTAGCACAAGTGGCAAATTGGTTATGAAAGTGTTGTGAATTTTGGTTTTGCCATACAGTGGAACCCCAGTTTTCGTCCTTAATCCATTCCAGAAGGTTGGTCGAAATCCGAAATGGACGAAAACCGAAGTAATATTTCCCACAAGAAATAATGTAAATCCAATTAATCTGTTCCAGACACCCAAAAATATTAAAAAAAAAAAAAAAATACATTTTATAGAGAATAACTATAGTTTTACAGTGGACCCCGCCCAACGGCAGCATCAAGTAATGGCAAATTCGTCTAACGGCGCTCTTTGGCGTCAAAATATTGGCTCTACCAACGACGAAAAACTCATCTAGCAGCATGCGGCCTGAGTGGGCCCAGCCACTCCAAGACTCTGTGTACAGCCAGTGTGCCAATGTTTACAAGCCATTGCGGTCGATTCCAAGTGTACCTGTGATATATTTTGTATTATTCCAGTGTTTTTAGTGCTTGTAACTGCTAAATAAGCCACCATGGACTTATTTAGCAGTTGGTGAGAAATACTCTCAAAATACTATTGTACCATGGTCAGCTGCTGCTGCTGCAACACCGTCAGCTGCTGCTGCACTACTGTCAGCTGTTGCTGCAACACCATCAGCTTCTGCTGCTGCTGTACTACCATAACTGTTGCTGCACCACTGTCAGCTGCTGCTGCAACACCATCAGCTGCTGCTGCTGCTACTGCTGTTGTACTACCGTAAGCTGTTGCTGCACCACCATCAGCTGCTGCTGCACCACGGTCAGCTGCACTACTCGAAGATGTAGAGAGACTATTGTTGGTGTGGCTTATCGAGAATACCGAGAAACAATTAACCCCAGAGGGTCAGCCACCCAGGATAACCCAAGAAAGTCAGTGCGTCATCGAGGACTGTAACTTATTTCCTTTGGGGTCCTTAATTTTGTTCCCCAGGATGCGACCCACACCAGTCGACTAACACCCAGGTTAACAGGAAAAAATGCCTGGAACTAGTGCTCATATTGGTGAATTTAAGGCCAGCAAAGGTTGGTTTGAGAGATTTAAGAATCGTAGTGGCATACACAGTGTAATAAGGCATGGCGAAGCTGAAAAATTCCAACCCCGAGTGTTCAATTGTGACGAAACAGGCCTGTTCTGGAAGAAAAGGCCAAACAGGGCCTACATTACTCAGAAGGAAAAGGCACTCCCAGGACACAAGCCTATGAAAGACAGGCTAACTTCCTTGTTTTGTTGTAATGCTAGGGTAAATTGCAAAATGAAGCCTTTACTCATGTATCACTGTGAAAATCCCAGTGTTCAAGAAAAACAGTGTCTCATCACTCAACAATACTCTTCAATAAAGGTGTCATTTTAGTATTCATGTATATATTGTGCATGTCTAATTGTTTTCTGTGTAGGGAAATGTATATTTCATGTAGAAAAAAGATATTTTATTAATACTTTTGGCTGTCTCGAGCGGATTAACTGGATTTCCATTATTTCTTATGGGGAAAATTAATTCGACCAACAGCAAATTCGACTAACGACTAGATCTCTGGAACGGATTAATACAATTGGTTGAGGGTCCACTGTACATACAGAAAACAATGAGAAATAAATATAAATGACTAATTTTAATGGATAAATGAATATTTAAATCACTATTACATACCTTTATTGAAGACTCTTGTTGGTTTATGGAAGAAGGCAAGGAGGGGAGGAGGAGGAGAGGTTATTCTTTGGAAGAGGAATCCCCCTCCATAAGGATTTCAGGTAAAAAAGCCCTATCCGGGGCATGTAACGACCTTGCCATTTCGCAAATTATCCCCTCCACAACACTACCTCTTGTTAACTGTTTTCGCTGATCCACACCAACAACAACTTCTCCACATCTTTAATTGTTTGTGATCTCTGTTTCATTAGCATATTTAACCCTTTCACAACATCAGCTTCCTTGATTTCTACTTTCTTTACCAGGATGGAACTGACTGTTGATTTGGACTTGCCATACGTTCTGGCGAGCTTGGCCACACATACGCCACTTTTGTATTTTGCTACAAGCTCTTTCTTGAATTCTATCATGTTTCTCACCTTCTTTACCAAAGGAGTGGCACTAGGAACAGTCGCAGTTAATAAACAAGCACAAAAAACAATGGATTATTATGAAATGTTTCGAATGAACGCACGGAGTATTGCTCAATGAACAAGTGACAGAGGCAGACCGAGTCATGTACATGTGAGCAGCCACGTCTGGGGCGGGCAGATGCATCCGGTACGGACAATTTCCGAGAGGAGGTATGAAATCCGGGGTAAAATTTCGCCTAAAAAAGTGGTCGAAATCCGAATTGTATGACATCTGCACCGGACATAATCTGGGGTTCCATTGTATCATGGTTCTAATAATTAAATACAGTGGACCCCTGAGTTTTGTTATTATTCCATTCCAGAGAGTCTGCCGAAAGTGAAAATTCACGAAACTCGAAACAACTTTCTCCATAAGAAATAATGTAAATCCAATTAATCTGTTCCAGACACCCAAAAGTATTAACAAAAATTATTTTTTTTTATAGATTAAATTAAGATTTACATACAGAAAAGAATGAGAAATCAAGTATAAAACAATAATAACATCACACTTACCTTCATTGAAGACTCTTGTTGGTGTATGGAAGACGTGAGGAGGGGAGAGGGTTAAGAACATAAGAAAGGAGGAACACTGAAGCAGGCCTGTTGGCCCATACTAGGCAGGTCTTTCACAATCCATCCCACTAACAGAATATTTGCCCAACCCAATTTTCAATGCTCCCCAAGCAATAAGCTTTGATATATCTATTCACTCATGTCCAAGTCCCACTCAAATCAAATCATGTCTGTGGGGAAGTACCCTTGCTGGTTTGTGTGGGGAAGTACCCTGACTGGTGTGTGGGGAAATACCCTGGCTGGTGTGGAGAGGTACCCTGTCTGGTGTGTGGGGAAGTACCCTTGCTGGTGTGTGTGTATGTGTGTGTGTGGGGGGGGGGGAAGTACCCTGGCTGGTTTGTGTGGGAAAGTTCTTTCTTGAATTCAATCGTGTTTCTTGCCATCTTTACCAAAGGGTTGGCACTAGGAGCTTTCTTTTGGCCCATGGTGGCTTATTTAGCAGTTGCAAGCACAAAAAACAATGTACAGTACTGTATTATTACAAAATGTATCGTATCAACACGTGGGGTGATGGTCACTCACCCAGAAACAATGCCACACTGACTCTCTGAATGGTGTGTGGAAGCCTTTGTGTATGGCAGCCACTGGGAGACCGCTCGGACGCGTTCCATACCACCAACAAATTGTGAGGCAAATCACGAAACGTGAGGCTATATTTTGACAAAAAAAGTTGCCTAGTCAAAATTCACAAAGTGCGGGGCTCACAAAACTCGGGGGTTGACTGTATATCAAAACTTTTTTTTTTCCCCAACAGCTTGTGATCACTGCAACAACATTCCATACCCTGCCTTATGAATGACTCGCTCAAGAAAAATTTCCAGCCAATACCTAACTCACTGTCAAAATATATTCCCAAAATATATTGCTTATCAACAAGCAATTGTAACCAAAATTGAAGCTCATATTAAGTTTTCTTTTGATTTCTTTGCTTATTAAAAAAAATAATTTGGCTTTCTTTAGAGGACCAAGTAGCATAACCCTATTTTCCCCCCATTTTCTTCAGTCGAGTTAATGCTATTTCTGTTAAAGTACCTATTTGCAGCTAATTGTTTAACAGTGCAAGGTTAAACAATTAGGTAGTATCTGAGTGCCTCTGGAAAGACAGTGATTATGTATGAATGACAGTGAAAGTGTTGAATGATGAATGTTTTTTTTCTTTCTTTCTTTCTTTCTGTGTCACCCTGCCTTGGTGGGAAATGGCCGACATATTAAAAAAAAAAATTATCATTATTAACACATTGGCCGTTTCCCACCGAGGCAGGGTGACCCAAAAAAGAGAAAACAATTTCAGTATTACTCACTCAATTACTGTCTTACCAGAGGCATGCTGAAACTACAGTTAAAAAACTGCAACGTATCTCCACCCCACCTTCAGAGAGGAGGAGCCATACTTCCCACCTCCAAGACTCAAGTCAGGCCAACTAGACTTAATAATAATTAATTCAGAATTGGGGTACTTACTTTATCACCATCATTCGAACAGTTTTGTTCATCTGTCAGATCCACACAATCATGGTTGCCATCACACTGCTTTGACAGCTCCTCACAAGCACCTCCATCACACATAAAGAATCCATCTGGGCATTTGGTAGTTGGGGTTGGTGCTGTGCTACAACCTTCCTCATCAGACCTTTAAAAGTATTATGTACTGAATTATATTTATTGTTCAGAGAAGCCCACACTTTGGAAGGTAACAGAAATTAGTGCAGTAAATGTTTGATAAAACAGATTAACAGGGGAAAGGGATGAAAAATTTGTTATACTGAAAGTTTTGATTCAGTGAATGTAGTCCATTTAACCCTTAAACTGTCCAAACGCATATCTACGTAGATCTACGTTTGGAGAGTTTAAGGGCTAACTGATTGACTACCAGACATGGACAAATGCCCAATAAAAGACTTAATCCACTGTATTGATGGACTGCTGGGCATACTAAGAATTAACTTGAGTACAAAACAGTATTATTTGTAAATGTACCTGAAAAGAAAATGAGTTAAAAGTACAGCACAGTACAGTAATTTTTCTTACCTTTTGTGGTAGATAGATGAGCTTACAAATGTACAATACAGTACAGTATTCCCATGTAGTCTAGTGGTGACCCAGAATAACTTTATTACAAGTCAGAGGAGCTGTAAAGCAGTAACACTGCAGATGGTGTGGGAGTAAGACAGGTTGAGCATACCACTTATGCAATGCTGTTACAACCTTTGTATCTTGGGACATTATATGCTCCCTAGGAACAACTGAGCAACCTTATAGGCTGGCATCTACACGGTACGTCATAGCATACTGGGTAAGTTTTCCTTCTATCTACGAGTGTCAGACACTGTTTTGCCATAGCATACTCCTTACACAACTGGGCCACTGTAATGCCAGCCTTCACCTTCCTTATTAATTTAAGTGTTTGTTTAACAATTAAGGTCACACACACTGTCTTGGCACCATCACTTGCTCTAGATGCCATTGTTTCTAACACTGAACATGGCACAGCCTCTTCTCACTTAACCCTTTGAGGGTTTTGGTCGTACTAGTACGTTTTACGCGTAGGGGTTTTTGACGTACTAGTACTCATAAATTTTAGCGGCCTCAAATCTAGTGGGAGAAAGCTGGTAGGCCTTCATATGAAAGAATGGGTCTATGTGGTCAGTGTGCACAGTCTAAAAAAAATCCTGCAGCACACAGTGCATAATGAGAAAAAAAAAACTTTGACCATTTTTTTTTAATAAATCAGCGACTTTGCAGTGTATTTTCGTATGGTATTTATTGTTGTATTCTAGTTTTCTTGGTCTCATTTTATAGAATGGAAGACATATTACAGAAATTGAGATGATTTTGACTGGTTTTACAATGAAAGGTACCTTGAAATTGAGCTCAAAGTAGCAGAAATGTTCGATTTTTACCAAACTTCAAAAGTAAACAAATCGTGCCAAGCGTGCAATACACGTCAACTGGTGAGTCTAATATTCTTTTAAAAGTGCACCAATAATATTTATACCATTTTTTACACTAATGCAGTAGTCTGCATAACAGTAAATCTTATATTTTTTGTGAGAATAAAAATTCAAAGTGGAAAGCAAAAGAATATAAGAGGGCCCTTGAGATGTGACTAATGACTAGAGGAAATGTCATTTTAGTGCCAGGAATGTCTTTCTTGTTTATTCTGGACCCTATTCGGAAATTGGCATCTTTTGAAATTTGTGTGAAATTGGCAAAATTGCTAAATTCTGACCACTGTACTGGATAGTTGAATTTATAAATGGGTGGTTTCTTGCACCCATTCGATAGAAAAAATGGAGTTCTAGCGAAATATTCATGTTTTTTGTCGACTAGTACAGTGAAATTGGCCGAAAATGGGGCTCAAAGTGGGCAAAATCGCCGATGCGTAAACATCGCCGAGACCGCTAACTTTGCAAGAGCATAATTCTGTAAGTTTTCTATCAAATTTCAAACTTTTGGTGTCTTTATGATAGGGAAAAGATTCTCTATCTTTTCATACGAGAAAATTTTTTTTTTTTTTTTTTAAATTTGGCCGACCCTGAGAACGAGTTTCGGAGAGGGCCTGTCGACCCTCAAAGGGTTAATGATGGAGTTCCGTTCCTAAGACCACATCAGTTAACAAATTCGTCGCTAAGTGAGGACCATACAATAAATGTAATGGATTTGTGTCAACAATCTTTGATATTGCTTTAATGTCACATCTGCACCATTTATAACATTTCTGGAATATTTTTAAATGTTCATACAGTATTGTACTGCATTCTGTAATAAACAGAATATACATTATTTAGGTATACATTATTTAATATACATTATTTAGGTATGCATACTGGTCAGAAAGCCTCAAGTAAGTCTGAGTCACTGGTAAACGAGTATGTTGCTAAGTGGGGAGAGGCTGTATTTCAATAATTATAAACACTGTGAATCCAGGGAAAAACTGGAGATAAAATGATGATAGTACACACATGTGCAGACAATAACAAACTAACGTAGGAAGTCACTGGCTTACTGCCCAGGAACAATGAAAATGGATGCAGCCAGGATGAACCTCATACAGTATAAACTTGAAGACTAAGTGGAGTCAGTTAATTTTATCGAAAATATGACCGAACTTGACTTGGAGGGTGTACAGATCTGTAGTAGAGGAAAGGAGGGGTAGGGGTCATCCTAGGAAAGGATGGAGGGGGTAAAAGAGGCATTGTGTGCAATAGGCATCGACATACAGCAGGCACGTGTGAGCATGTTAGATAGGAGTGAATGAAGACGAATGGTTTTTGGGACTTGGCGAGCTATTGGAGTTTGAGAAGGGTAATATTTTGAGAAGGGATTCAGGGAAACCAGTCAGCTGGATTTGAGTCCTGGAGGTGGTAAGTACCATGCCTGCTATTTAGTGACATCTGAACTGCCATATCTATGTGCTTCTGCAAAGACAGTGATAGTGTGAATAATGGTGAAAATGTTTTCTGTTTTTTTTTTTTGAAGGGGGGGGGGAAGCCACCCTGCCTCAGTGGTAGACGGCCAGCATGTTTAAGGAAAAAAAAAAAGACCGGACCAAATAGTCACCTGATACAGTGGATCTGGTCCGCTCCATGGCTATTTTAACTGGGCACCCCATTAAATGTAAATACTGAGCCTTTGCCAGACATATTTTTTGTCCATTTTAGCTGATTTCTGCTTTATGGAAGTCCGTTTTATTTATTTTTTTCTGTAACTATCGTTTATTTGTCTAATAAGTGGAATGGAGCCAGGAAACTGTACTGAGTGGCTTCCCTTCCAGTCAGCTGATTACCAATTTGAGCACTTCAACTTACCACATTTAACCCCTTAACTGTTGAAACATTGATCTGTTTTTACTGCTAGTGCTCCAAGTATTAAAATAAATGAAAACAGAGCAGTTTTCTGTGTGCAATAAGACCAAAACAAAATTTTTGGGCCAGTACTTACAGAGATAAAAGGTGGGAAAGTTGGTACTAGACGCTCATGTGATGGCAACATGGAGTTCTGCCATGCAGAAATATTGTCAATACACCTTTTTTTCTTATTTTTTTAATTTACATTATTTTTATGTTCTAATAATTACAATTTATCTCCATGGGAAAGTGGAACAGAATTCTTCCTCCGAAAGCCATGTGTTTACCTGGAGTTTACCTGGAGAGAGTTCCGGGGGTCAACGCCCCCGCGGCCCGGTCTGTGACCAGGCCTCGTGGTGGATCAGAGCCTGATCAACCAGGCTGTTGCTGCTGGCTGCACGCAAACCAACGTACGAGCCACAGCCTGGCTGATCAGGAACTGACTTTAGGTGCTTGTCCAGTGCCAGCTTGAAGACTGCCAGGGGTCTGTTGGTAATCCCCCTTATGTGTGCTGGGAGGCAGTTGAACAGTCTCGGGCCCCTGACACTTATTGTATGGTCTCTTAACGTGCTAGTGATACCCCTGCTTTTCATTGCGCTCCCAATAATTGAGGTGTTTTATCTCTGTTATGCGCGCCGTGAAAGTTCTCTGTACATTTTCTAGGTCGGCAATTTCACCTGCCTTGAAAGGTGCTGTTAGTGTGCAGCAATATTCCAGTCTAGATAGAACAAGTGACCTGAAGAGTGTCATCATGGGCTTGGCCTCCCTAGTTTTGAAGGTTCTCATTATCCATCCTGTCATTTTTCTAGCAGATGCGATTGATACAATGTTATGGTCCTTGAAGGTGAGATCCTCCGACATGATCACTCCCAGGTCTTTGACGTTGGTGTTTCGCTCTATTTTGTGGCCAGAATTTGTTTTGTACTCTGATGAAGATTTAATTTCCTCATGTTTACCATATCTGAGTAATTGAAATTTCTCATCGTTGAACTTCATATTGTTTTCTGCAGCCCACTGAAAGATTTGGTTGATGTCCACCTGGAGCTTTGCAGTGTCTGCAATGGAAGACACTGTCATGCAGATTCGGGTGTCATCTGCAAAGGAAGACACGGTGCTGTGGCTGACATCCTTGTCTATGTCGGATATGAGGATGAGGAACAAGATGGGAGCGAGTACTGTGCCTTGTGGAACAGAGCTTTTCACCGTAGCTGCCTCGGACTTTATTTGTTGACGACTACTCTCTGTGTTCTGTTAGTGAGGAAATTATTGATCCATCAACCGACTTTTCCTTTTATTCCTTTAGCACGCATTTTGTGCGCTATTACGCCATGGTCACACTTGTCGAAGGCTTTTGCAAAGTCTGTATATATTACATCTGCATTCTTTTTGTCTTCTAGTGCATTTAGGGACCTTGTCGTAGTGATCCAATAGTTGAGACAGACAGGAGCGACCTGTTCTAAACCCATGTTGCCCTGGGTTGTGTAACTGATGGGTTTCTAGATGGGTGGTGATCTTGCTTCTTAGGACCCTTTCAAAGATTTTTATGATATGGGATGTTAGTGCTATTGGTCTGTAGTTCTTTGCTGTTGCTTTACTGCCCCCTTTGTGGAGTGGGGCTATGTCTGTTGTTTTTAGTAACTGTGGGACGACCTCCGTGTCCATGCTCCCTCTCCATAGGATGTGTCATAAGAGGCGACTAAAATGCCAGGAGCAAGGGGCTAGTAACCCCTTATCTTGTATACATTACTAAAGTTAAAAAGAGAAACTTTTGCTTTTCTCTTTG